AAGATACCGAAAACTTTTGGGAATTGGCTACGGGCTTTCTGTATTCTGGCTAGCGTGATAGGGGAAAAGAACCCGGGGCGTTGCTCTGAACTTTTTTGCTACTTGGATGGGATAGGCGATGCATATCGAACATACGGGGGATTGGCGTGGTGGAGGTATGACGAGCAATTTCGACAACGGCTAGCGGTGAACACGAGCATGCGGTGGGATCAAATGGATCTGCCGTTATGGATGCGCCTTATGATGGCTCAAAAGGCGGCGCGCTTTCTTGGGACAGCCGGCACGGCCGCAGGGGGTGCTGTGTCGGCTGGGCAAAAGAAAGGCTTCTGCTGGATGTACAACGAGGGACACTGCAAGTGGGGGAATTCCTGCAGGTTCAGACACGAATGTTCCGGCTGCGGGGGGGCGCATGGCGCCAGCCGGTGCTTCAAGAAGGGTAAGCTTGGAGGGGGAGGGGGGTCCGGAGGGGGAGGGGGGTCCGGAGGGGCAGCGCCCCCTGCTGTTACCGCTGGGGGCGTCCCCAGTGAAAGTAGACGTGATGTTGCCTTGGCTAAGGCAGTACGCCAATAGGGCGGATGCGGCCTTGTTGTGGCAGGGATTTCGAGAAGGGTTTGTTATTCCCTTCGTGGTTAGGGGACCGGGAACGATGTGTGGTAATCTCAAGTCAGTTCGGGAGCACCCGGGGGTAGCGCGGGAGAAGTTGAGCAAGGAAGTGCAGCTGGGGAGAATGGCGGGCCCATTCTTGGAGCCGCCGTTGGGCGACCTACGGATATCCCCACTCAGCGTGGTTCCCAAGAAGGAAGCGGGTAAGTTCAGGTTGATACATCATTTATCGTACCCAAAAGGGGCGTCGGTAAATGATGACATTGACGCGGCCCTCAGCTCCGTCTCTTATACGTCATTCGACAAGGCTGTCGAGTTGGTACGGAGAATGGGGCGAGGGGCGCTGATGGCGAAAGTGGATGTGGAGGCAGCCTTTCGGCTGCTCCCTATACACCCCAAATGCCATCATTTGCTCGGGTGCTATCTTGATGGGGGTTATTTCGTGGATCTGTGTTTACCAATGGGCTGTTCCATATCGTGCGCTTATTTTGAGAAATTTAGCACGTTTTTGTAATGGGTGGTGCGGAAGGAATCGGCAGGGGGTGCGGTGGTGCACTATCTTGACGACTTCCTCTGTGTCGGCCCGCAGGGAACGGGCCGGTGTAGACAGGTGCTGGAAGTGTTTCACTGGGTTGCACACTCTTTCGGGGTTCCCTTGGCGGGAGACAAGACGGTTGGGCCCACAACGTGCCTTAGTTTTTTGGGGTTGGAAATCGATTCCGTGAGAGGCGAATGTCGGTTACCTTCAGACAAACTAGTGGATCTGATGGAGCGGGTGGCCACGGTAGGGAGGGCTAAGAAGGTGACGCTGCGGGGGCTTCAGTCATTGGTGGGGAGCCTGAACTTCGCGTGCCGGGTGATACCAATGGGGAGGGTTTTCTGCAGGCGACTGGCACGTGCGACAAGTGGGGTGCGTTGGCCATCGCACTACGTTAGGGTCTCAGCGGATATGAAGGCGGACTTAAGGGTGTGGGACCAGTTCCTACAGGATTTTAATGGTAAGGTGTTCTTTAGGGACCCGGCGGCGGCAACAGAGGTGGGGCTGTACACTGATGCGTCGGGCAGTGTCGGTTTTGGGGCTTATCTTGCGGGTAATTGGTGCGCTGAGGAGTGGCCTGCAGCGTGGAAAGAAAGCCCGCTAATAAGGAATTTGGCGTTTTTGGAATTATTTCCGGTCGTGGTTGCGATGGGCTTATGGGGGCCGGCGTTGGCAAACAGGCACATCGTGTTCCACTCGGATAACATGTCTGTGGTGCAGGCGATAAACAGTTTGTCTGCGTCTTCCCCCCCGGTCTTGTGTTTGTTGCGGCGGTTTGTACTTCTTTGCATGTCCTTCAATGTGGTGTTTAGGGCTAAGCACATCCCTGGTATGTTGAATGTGGTGGCTGATGCGCTTTCTCGTTTTCAGTGGGAACGATTCCGGGAAGCGGCGCCAGACGCCCAGGAGATGGGGCAAGCATGCCCGGACGAGATGTGGCGGCTCGGGACGTCATGCTTGGGGAGTACATAAGGAACTCATTGGCGCCAAGCACGTGGTCGTCGTATGTTAAGGTTGGAAGGAATGGGAG